CAGTGTCTGACAGCCTCTTGAACTGTAGGATGGGAGTCTTTGAGGTTTTCTTCTGTCTCCAAATCTGTGGAATCAAAGGAGTCCAGAACACTTTCTCTAAGGCAGGCCCCTTGAGGATCAACCAACAGGAGCAGACTAGCACCTCTCTCAAGGAAACTGGAACATTTCCCTTTCGCAATGAGGTATTCACTACAGCCCAATAAAGAATTCCTAGTTCTCTCCCATGCCACTTTAACTAGATAAAGGGCTGGTTCATGTTCACAAATTGTCGTGCTTACCCCCTAGAAGACTCTGCCTACTTCTTCACAATCCATAAGACTCAAGAACCTTCCAAGTAGCATTCCAAGTTATTTGTATCACTTCATTGGATCTCACCCATCCAACTTCCAACTCAGAGTGGATTTTATTATTTCATGTACAAAATCGTTTAGCAAATTTGAACTTGGTGATTCAAGTCCAGAAGTGATATTTTCTTCGTTATTATTTGTTTAATATGAATTCAAATCAAGAAAATGTTTGGAAAACTGCTGGGAGCAATTAACTTGTAATTAAGCAATTAATTTTAAAACAGTCTCTGCTCTGAAATCCAGTGTGGTCTAGTGGTTAAGTATCAAGCTAAAAACTGGGAGACTGTGAATTGTAGTCCTGCCTTTGGCATGAAACCTAGCTGGGCAACTTTGCACCAATCACTCTCAGCCCACAATGTCAGTCTTGGGCAACATTTGTTATTTTTCACCCCTAAAAATTTTCAGTTTCTTTTTCCAATTGAATTGTATGGCTTATATGTTATATAAATGGTGGAGTGATTTATCTTGGTCTGATCATTTTTACAACTCAAAAACCTGGCATTTTATCAAGTTTTTTTATATCCACTGTAGATCCAGTAGGCTCAAATATTCAGAGCCGCTTGGTCTTGCCAGAGTTCAGCTAAAGACTTTTATTCCCCATCCAGACCTGCACAGCTTCCAAAAACTGGGGCAGGGCATCAATAGTTGCTTAGTTTCCTAGGCACAGAAAGGTATAACTGAGTTTCATCAGCAGTTCACCTCATGGTGATGAATGATCTCACCCAGTGGCTTCATGATGTTAAATAGGAGTGGAGAGAGCACTTATCCCTGCAGAACCCACAAAGTAGGAATTGAGGGCAAGTCTTTCATTCTCAGTTAATACTGACTAGTATTGCAGAAAGAAAGCGAAGCAGCATGATATTGCACTGCCCACCCTCAACTCATGGAGCCAAGCCAGAAATTTACCATGATCAATGATAATGAAAGCCGCCAAGAGGTCAAGAAATGTAAGGTCAGATGTGCTACCACTGTCCTGCTGCCACCACAGATCATCCAAAAGCATGAGCAATGTTATCTCTGACCCATGCCCAAACCTGGATCCTGACTGAAAATGGTCCAGTTGATCTGCTGCATAACTACTTTGTTTACAACCTTCCCTAAAAAAGGGAGATTAGACACCAGACAAAAATTGTCCAGCATGGTCAGATCCAGTGATGGCCTCTTGAGGAGGGATGAACTACTGCTTCTTAAGAAGTGATGGAACAACCTTCTCTCATCACTAGGATCCAACCACATGACATTCCTCCCCTCCCCCAGGCAACCTTAAATAGGCGGGAGGGGCATGGATTTAAGGAACAGATGACTGAGCTGACAGTCATTAGGACCGTGTCCACTTCAACAAGTCTAACAAGATCAAACCATTCCTGGATAACAGGACAAGTCTGTCCCCTGGGCACCTCCACTGAATCTGAATCAAAGCTGGAATCCAGCTTAGAATAAATCTAATAGATTTTGTCCAAGCTGTGCAAATTTTTCTGCACGGCCTTCCAGGTGAATCTCTAAGTTCTTATCCAGTAGGGCTTGTGTCACTTTAAACAACGCTTCTGAATGGAGATGCAGTAAGCGCAGAGAATTATTGATACTTCGTTGCCACAAGCTAAAGCCACAAGCTTTAATAGTGGATCTCACCCATGTTTGATTAAGTTTGTCCTGTGTTGATCTCTAACGGCTCTCTAGACGTTTCTTCTTTGCCTTTTTTCTAAGCTCTTCCGTAAATTATAGAGGGTGACGGGATCCATGAGAAAAAAGTAACAGGTCCAATCTGATCCAAAGCCTTAGCCATCCTCTCATTCAAAAAAAATGGCCAAGGACTCAGCTGGATCATGAGGCAGACTAATAGGGACAACTCCCATCTTCCTCTGTATCCATTAGTAACTGAAATGGATTGATCTAATAGATCTATATAATATTGCAAGTGGTGGTGTTGGTTTTTTTTGAGGAAAAAGCATTTGCTTTTTCTGATCCAGAATGCGGCCGCGCGGGTGGTTATGGGCGCACCTCGTTATGCCCATGTAACACCTCTCCTGCGCGAGCTGCACTGGCTCCCAGTGGTCTTCCGAGTGCAATTCAAGGTGTTGGTTACCATCTTTAAAGCGCTCCATGGCATAGGACCAGGATATCTACGGGACTGCCTTCTGCCACCAACAGCCTCCCACCGATCAGTTCGCTCCCACAGAGAGGGACTTCTCAGGGTGCCGTCAGCCAAGTTATGTTGGCTGGCGACACCCAGGAGGAGAGCCTTCTCTGTGGGAGCTCCTGTCCTCTGGAATGAATTGCCCCCAGATATTTGTAACATCTCTGACCTCTGGGTTTTTCACTGTGCCCTCAAGACCCTACTGTTCCGACAGGCGGGGCTGTCAAATTGAATGATTTTAAATTGGGTTTTAATTTTGGGTTTTAAAATTCAGCCAAACTATTTAATGATTTTAATTAATTTTAACTAGATATTGTATATTTGTATATTTGTATTTTAATTCTGGCTGTACACCGCCCTGAGTCCTTCGGGAGACTGGGCGGTATATAAATATTATTATTATTATTATTATTATTATTATTATTATTATTATTATTATTATATAAAAAATTTCCACTTCAGACATCATTTGTGTATTGTTTGGGGTTTAGTGTGGAGATGGGTAGCCTTTTGATAGTTGTAGTTCAGATAGGTCAAGAAGAGATGTCAGAGCTCAAATCATAACAAGCAACTGATGTGCATAATTAGATATAAACCTAAAATGTAAGCTTTTCCAAGCAAAGCTAACTTTTGCAATTGACTGATGATAATTTTATTAATTCCAATAATGTTCAAGTGATGATCTAGTTGTTTTGGGATTGCACCCAAGGCACCTATTATTATTGGTACAACCTTGTTTTACCACAGTCATCTACTTCTGTTTACAGGTCTTTGTACTTTGCTACCTTCTCCAGTTCTATTCTGCTGAGCCCCAGGTCCTGCCACAACTACTATCCAGACTATTTTGTCTTTCTTATGAACAGTTGTTAAGAGTGGGGCATTATGTGGCAAGTACCTGTCTGTTTGAATTCTAAAGTCTCAGCACATTTTAACTTCTTCATTTTTCATTACTTTGTCTATTTTATGGATTCACTGATTCTTCTTGCAGGTAAATAGTATTTCTTGCAGATATTCCAATGCAGCATTGTCACTACTTTGTTGTGCCATTGCTTGTATTATTATTATTGTTGTTGTTGTTGTAGAAAGAAGAAAGTTATATTGGGAAATAGAATTCATCTTCTTTTGGATGGGTTTCAGTATGCTTGAAGATTCAGATTGTGGTTTGTTTGCATGTCTTTGTTGGGCTTTAAATCAGAATGACAAGATTTTGATCATGGCAAGAATTCATTTTTATAGTTTCCTAACTTTGAAGGTTAGGTGGTTTAGATTATATTCTCCACCATGAACTTGAATGGGTTTTAAGATCCTTAACAGGGCTATTCAGCAAATGATTGCTGAATTCAGAGATAAAAAAATTTCAAAAAGCTCAAAAGCTTTCAACAAGCATAATATGGATTTTAACACTTAATTAACTGCTTGTTAATTAATAAGGTACTTCTAATACGTCTCACATTATCCTGTATTTGCATAACTGACCAGTTTTTCATTCCCTCCCTCCACCATGGCTTATTCACTTTTAATCCTACATCATGCTAGCTATTCTATTTATCTAAAGAACAGTTTACAAGAGTTGCAAAAGTGTGTGCCTTTTAGTAATATTTGTTACTCCTTCTGAAGGTCTTTAGAAGAAGCCCCTATGTTTATCTCATCATAGTTGTAGTATCTAAGGCAGAGAATCATCTCAGTCACTATTCCCGGGTTTGGGAGTTTCCCGCCAATGGAAACCAGACTAGCTTTGTATTTGATACAAATACCCTTTCATTAGAAAGCAAAAAATGGGCTTATTTAGCTAGGTTTTTAGTTTACAGGAAAATATTTTGCTGAATTGATTGATTTGTTAGGTGTGTTACTTGTATATTTCTATTTTGTTTTTAGACTAGTTTTTTTCTAATGCAATAAGTGGAAAGGCAATATTCATATTTGTACAGAAATATATATTTGATGTTTATTTTGGCATTTGAAAACAAACTCTGTTTTGCCTTGCTACCTTTTCTTATCTGAGAAACTTTCTCATGTGATAAAAGATTTTTCAATTAACAGCTCATTATCTTAATAGTAAATAGTAATAAATTTTAATAGTAAATAGTAAATTAGTAAAACTTAATAGTAAATATACCAAGATTAAGCCAAACATGCAGCATTTCTGTTGTGCAAAATGTATATTTAACATTTCTTGGAATCTACAACTTGTATTTTATGTAAGTTAATCACCCTGTAACTAGAAATAGTAGTTTCAGAAATGGCTGTTCCTTATCCAGTCTGTCTCGTAAAAGAATAATATTTCCTAATTAATTCTTTGTTTCTTGACTATATGTAATCTCAATGACAACTTTATCTGAATCTGGAAGATCTCCAGTTTGTTGATTTATAATCAGCTGAATGTTAACAACAATTTAGTATTGAGATTTATTTATTTTTATAAGCATAGATCTGTAGATATTATATGTGTTTTCCAGAGTGTGTGATATCTTACTGTCTTTCCTAGTGCCTGACCCAAATTTAATTTCCTTTCTTTATAGTTTTAATAGTGTGCGTCAAGGAACTCATATTTTGTTCCGAGAGTTCAACTTTGTCCAAGCTACACCCCATAATAGAACATCCTTTCTAAGGACTTTTTGGCGATGCTTCAGGACAGTGGGGAAAAATGGAGGTGAGTCTTTAAAAAATTATCTCAAATTTTAAGCCAAAAGTGTGATAACTTTTTGTCTAAAATTTTTGAATCAGTAACAAAATTTTTGCATTAGTTTTAAATATCCTTTATATTCTTTCTCCATTGTGGGTGGAGACAGCAGCCAGGATGGGTTGTGCCCGTCTGCTAAGCTGATAGACTGAGCCCGTCCAAGTTGTTAAGTCCCGCCCTTGTTACTGGGTAGACCCAGCTTTTGGCTCAGTCTGTCAGCCTAGACAGGCGTGTGGGACTGTTCCTCTTGCTAAAATTTCTCTCTTTCTTGGTATCTATTACTATCGATAAGTATTTAGTGTGGATTTACTGGTTTTTCGACTCGGACTGTTACCTGGACTGATTTGGATTCCCCTTATTTCCATCGGTGGTGAGTTCCTCTACCCCAGTGACTGGCTTTGCTAGTTATCTGGGGTGGAACTTTCTTCCTTCATTCCTTTTTCAACAGTGAGAGGGTTTTTTTCTTGGTATTTGTGGAGCATTACGCCCCCGTTTGTGTTAATTTAGCCGTTAGATTCACCAACGCCTAAATCGGCTTCTGCGGAGTTTTCGCGCTCCCACCCTTTACCTCTCGATCGCCATTTGTATTGCTGCCGGCCGTTGCTAACTTCTCCTCTCACGAGTCGATTTGCTTTTACTATTTGCGGCTTTCACATAGAATTGGCTAGCGGAGCCTCGCCCCTCAGCAGGAGCCTGCAGAGCGGAGCCTCTGTTTTTTTATGCGGATTGCAGACCGCGGAGCTATTTGAGCACTGACGTTTGGAATTTTGGCGCGAAGAGGCCTCTTTGAATATCGTCGGCTTGCCGCTTTCCCCTGTCATCATATCAGCGGTTTAGCGCCAAAGGGGAGTAGAGAAGGATTTGGTGGGGCTTCGCGCGCCCCCCCCCATCGCTATCTGCGTCAGTGCCTCCGGGGGGAGAACGATTTAATTTCAACAGTTTTGCGCTCCTTTGGTGAGCCTCTCTGGCAACTTTTTAGCGGAGTTTTTTCGCGCTCCCCCTTTATTGGCCCGGTCATTTGCCTCTGTGTGGCCTTACTGGAAGGTGGAGCTTCGCGCCCCCCCCCTCCCAAATTTCTAACTGGGAGGCAATCTGTGACATTTCTAATAGTGGAGCTTCGCGCCCCCCCCCCAGCTCTGAACTGTCATTATAGCTACTGTCTAATCAAGTCAGTAAGCCTAAGTGGAGTTTTTTACGCTCCCTGTTCCAGCTGCTAGGTTAGGGGCCTCCTGATTTCGACCTGTGCTTCTTAACGACAGTTCATTGTTTTGCGACTCTCCTTTCCATAGGGGTGTATTTTCTCATTGTCACAGCTATCAGCTTCCCTTATTTGAATCATGCCCAAAGCTTCGCACAAGTCAAAGCATGGGCGCAGGGCAGGGCGCTCAGACAGCCCTCAGCATGAAAGGGCTTCCCCTCCCAGGCGGGACAGCGTGCATGTCTCCTCTAAACAAGTGGAGGCTGATCCATCAAGGCCCCGTCATAAGCCTTCTTCTCATTCACTACCATCTCGCGCAGAAGCCCGCAGGGATAAAGTTCTTCAAAAGCTCTGCGATAAGGCTAGTAGGCAGCATCCATCAGCCAAGGGGTCTTCTACGACCTCGCTTCACGCGACTACAGCCCAGGATTCTGGGACGCAGGCTGACCAACTGTCTCTTCAGGACTGCCCTGCTGTTATTCAGACTGCCGATCTCTGGGGCGCTTCCACGACCTCTGCCTTGGAGGCTCCATTGGTGCCTCCTCCGCCGACTCCTTTTTCATCGGATGTGGCTAACTCAGCATCTGCAAACTCCTCAGCACCCGCCCCTGAGGCGGGGGCAGCGCTACCCGTTAATTTCTGGTCTCCTGAGCGAATCCAGCAACTCATAACAACTACGGTGCAACAGTCATTGGCGACTCAATTGCGACCAACTAGCAGGGCCGCTTCAGTTCAATCTGACGCGACGCTGTCTCGGATGGATGTCGATCAGGACGATGTACTTTCCATAGCCGCCCCGGATTCTCCGGTTTCATTGCTGGCTGATGAGGAATCTCAGGAGTTGGAGCTCTCGGAGGACGAGGATCTTCCCCCCCGATCAACCGGCTTTTACGGGCTTGTTTCCCCAGTCCTTGTTCAGATCTCTACTGCACAAGGCTATTATTACGGCACAGCTCAGCTCTCCCTCCCCGTTGCCAGATACATCAGGTACGGCTAAAGGGGCTCTCAACCCTCTTTTTGCAGAACCACCCAGGCCGGTAGACTCCATTCCTACCCCTCCATTGTTCCTCGATGTGATTCGGAAGCAGTGGTCTTCGCCTAGTTCGACACCGGCTCCTACAGCGTCGGACCGACGCAACTTCAACGTTGCTCCGGATCTTACCTCCCTTCTTCAGGTCCCATCCGTGGACGCTCCGGTGGCCGCTCTCTTACCTCACACTGCGGTCCCGGGTGATCCAGATGAAGGACTGCGCCCGGAGGAGCGCCGGGCGGAGCAGGTGTTGCAGCGGGCCCATCAGGGCGCGGCGTGGGCCATTCGAGCAGCTTCTACAGCATCTTTCTTTAATCGTACAACTCTCCTATGGCTCCGTCATCTGCATGAATCTTTGTCTACGGAAGATGTCCGTGTACGACAGGAACTGAACAAGATTATCGCCGCAACGCAGTTCTCAGCGGATGCCACCCTCAATGCAGCTCGCTTTGCGGCCAAGTCCCTTGCTTCTTCCATTACGGCCCGCCGCTTGGTCTGGCTCCGCCATTGGCAGGCCGACGCCAGGCATAAATGGCGTCTGGCTTCGGTCCCTTTTGCCGGTTCCAAACTGTTTGGGGATCCCCTTGAGGCTTTTTTGACCGAGACCAAGGACAAACGAAAGATTCTCCCACCTGCTTTCCGTAGGGGGGAACTGAGATTCCATCCATATCCGTCTCGGCCCTTTCCTCGTTCGTATGAGGGTGCTAATCACCCATCTTCTTCCTCGAGGCCTCAAGGGAATTATCAATCTAGACAGCGGGGCTTTCAGGACAGGGCGTCCAGAGGTAGGAATTTTGTTTCGAAGCGGCCCTTTCGAGGGGGAGGAGGTCGTTTCTCCAGACGCCGTCGTTAACAGCATTCCGGATCCTCCAATAGGGGGCAGATTGGCCCTCTTTGCCCCTGTTTGGGAGGGTTCCACTTCCGATAAATGGGTCTTGGCCACCGTTCGATCTGGCTTGGCCATTGAGTTTCTCTCCCCTCCTCCGAGGTCCTTTGTGCGCTGTCCGCTTTCCAACAACATCGAGAAACGATCCCTTATGGACTTGGCGGTTCAGCATCTCCTTTCAATCAGGGCTATCCAACCGGTTCCTGAGGTTGAACAGGGTACGGGATTCTATTCCCGACTTTTTCTAGTGCCAAAGTCATCGGGGGGGTGGAGACCCATTCTGGACCTCAAGCGCTTGAACCGGTTCATCGCTTATCGGAAGTTTAAGATGCAGTCCTTGAAGTCCATCCTCGACGGTGTTCGGAGGGGCGATCTCCTCTCTTCCATAGACCTCACCGAGGCCTACCTCCATATCCCCATCTTACCATCCCATTGCAGGTTCCTGCGGTTCTGCTACGGGGGACGCCATTTCCAGTATCGGGCCTTGCCCTTTGGCCTTTCCTCTGCCCCTCGTACCTTTACGAAGGTGCTGGCTGCCTTAGCAGCATCCCTTAGGGCAAAATCAATCCGTCTTCACTGCTATTTGGACGATATTTTAATTCTATCGCCCACCCAGCAGCAGGCTTCGTCTGACCTGCAACTGGTTCTCCAGACCTTGGCGGCCCATGGCTTTTCTATTAACTTAGAGAAGAGCCATTTTGTTCCGTCCACTCGTTTACTCCATCTGGGGACTATAATCGATTCGGTGGAGGGGAGGGTCTATCTTTCACAGGACCGCCAGGAAAGTTTGCGGGTCCTTATCCGTAAGGTTGTCCGGGCCAGAGCAGTGTCTCCCCTCGTCTTGTCCCAGCTATTGGGCAAGATGATTTCCGCCATCTCAATAGTTCCCTGGGCCCAAATGCACTCGAGGGAGCTGCAGTGGTTCCTTTTGCCGTTACAGAAGGCGGGCAGAGGCACCTCTTCCATTTCGGTTCCCATTCCCAGTAAGGTACTCAGGTCCCTTGGGTGGTGGCAGTCTCCAGCATTATCTAGAGGTTCTCTTTTCTTTGATCCACAGAGGGTAGTGGTAACAACGGACGCCAGCCTTCAGGGCTGGGGGGCCCATTGTCTGGGCCAAGTCGCGCAAGGCACCTGGAACAGCACGGATGCCCGGCACTCCATCAACTGGCTGGAACTTCGGGTGGTCTACCTAGCGCTTCGAGCCTTTCATCGTCTCATCTCAAGATCTCACGTCCTGGTCCTCACGGACAACATCACGGCGAAAGCCCATATCAACCGCCAGGGGGGCACGCGGTCGCTCTCTCTGATGTCGGAGGCTCTGAGGTTGGGACTCTGGTCGGAAATTCACCTTGCCTCCCTACGGGCAGAGCACATTTCCGGCGTCGCCAATATACAAGCAGACTGGCTCAGCCGCCGGCGCCTGGATCATGCGGAATGGCGTCTTCACCCGCACATTTTTCGTCAAGTCGCCTCTCACTTCGGTGCTCCTGTGGTAGACCTCTTTGCCACATCGGACAATACTCAGCTCCCGCGCTTCATCTCGCGGTACCCGTCGCCTCAGGCGGAGGCGATCGACGCTCTCCGTTCCCCTTGGCCCCCGGGACTCCTATACGCGTTCCCTCCAGTCCCGCTCCTATCCCGGGTGATTCGCAAGTTGTTATTGGAACGGGCGGAGATCATTCTGGTGGCTCCGCATTGGCCTCGCAGACCTTGGTTTGCGGACCTAGTGTCATTGTCAATAGCCCCTCCCTGGCAGCTACCTCAGCCAGCGGATGCACTGACTCAAGGGGCTATACGGCACCCCGACTTGCAGTGGCTGCGTCTGACCGCCTGGCGGTTGAGCGGTGCGCACTAGG